CCACCTGCCTTGCCTTTACCGTATATTATTTTTTAAGCTATCTTATTTTTTGAAATTTTATTCAAATCTTTGGTCGCAAGAAGAATTGCATGATAAATAAAAACATTTAATCAAAGTCAATTTTATTTTTCATATTCAAATGGACTGAGTGTTAACATTTAACATTTTTTGCTAATTGTCGTCAAAAATTAGGCGTAAAGCAAAAATTGATATTTCATATGGTTTTATGATAGATAAGCATTATATTCCCACTCATTATATTCGTAAATTGTGAGGTTTATCCTTCGCTTTTAAGATCATTGAATTTGATTTTTATATAAAATAGTTATATATTAGAAAATAATATGAGTTTATGTGATATTATTTTTCAGAAGATTTCATTCTATATGCCTATGAAAAGTACTCTCAAAACTAACGTTTTCCTAATTATAATTAAATCTAGAATATTGTATTATGCTTAGTATTATTTCATTTTTCTCATTCAATTTAGAATTTACAAATGTCAAAAAATTGAGAGCTGTCACTTTTGATGAATTTCTGTTTATTACAATACATATAATTGTTTTATTAAATAAATTAATATATTAATAGAAAAACCATAAAAAATTATAACAAAATAAAAAATAAAAAAATTACCAAAATGAACACCATCCAGAGTACATCATTGCTAAGTTGTAAGTACTTACAGAGTTACTGATGAGTAATCCAGCCTGTTCTTCAACAGAAAGAGGTGTCTTGTTATCGAAGTCAGTTCCACAAAGTTTCTGATTGACTCTGTGTCTCATTTCAAGAGAAGACTGTGCTGCAGGGTTGTTTGCGAGCATAATTCTTGACTTCTCCATGATACTTCCCGCGAGCATCAAGTTGTTGTTGACTTGTGGTCTCTCCTTTGCGTATCCTTGTTGTGGAGGATCAGGAGGAACAGACTCAGGCATGTCAACAGTGTCGATATTTGAGTCTTCGATCGAATCAGGGTCAACTAATGGTTCATGGACGAAAATGGAAAGAACCATGACTAAAACTCTTCTGTTTTCTCTGAGGATATTCGCCATCTGGACAAATGCTGTTCTGAATGTTCCCATTGTTCCTGTAACACCCATTGCACTGACCATCATCCTTGTGAGTCTGAATGGAACAACTTCAGGAAGGAACTTTCTTTTCGCGGCTTTTTCGAAGCAGTCACCGAAATCGATGTGAATAACTTTTCCTGACAATCTGTCAATCAAGATATTCGATGGATGTCTGTCGCCCAATCCGATGACGTATCCAACAATGGATGTCATGGCTGTGGAGATAGCGAATGTGTGCTGTTGTTTGAGCCATGTTGATGTTGAATCAGCCTTGAGAATGAAGAGTTTTGCGATGTCATTTGAAGGAACGTTTCTCATGACTTTCTCCAAAACTTGCTGTTTCTGGATTGGCAACATGTAATCGTAGCTGGAATAGGAATATTCCTCAAGGAGTTTGAACTCTTGCATTGGATCCCTGCTGTAGAGTTTCCTGTATGTCTCTACAACGTGTCTCAATGTGTCTGTGCCTCTGACCCATTGAACTAAGCCGTGTTGCATTGAAAGAGGAATTACACCCATTGTTCCAATCAAGTTTCCAGAGAAATATGTTTGTTTCTTCAAGAAAGAGTTGATCAACCTGAAGAACTGCATGATTCTCTCATCCAATCTGAGGTCTTCGTGTCCTTTCACCAAATACTGGTAGAAGTTGCCGTCTTCGCCTCTTACAATGACATCTTTCGGTTGTTGCTTTGACATGTAAACAGAAAACTGGCCAACGAAATACTGTATTCTGTTGATTGGTCTTCCCGGTCTGTATGTTCCAGGAACAGCCAGTTTGAAGTGCGTTCTCTCATCGAGTTGTTCACTCAACGCTCTTAACTGTATAACTCTCACTTTCTTGATGTCTTCTGTCAGCGAATCCCGCATAATTCTGCACCAGCTGCTGATGGAATTCATGCAGTTTTGGTTCCTTGGAGAAAACACTTTCATCAGACTGTCCAATGATCGTAATTGTGGTCCGTATTGTCTGACAAATTGTTGGTGCATTTCGCATCTTGGCTTATTCGTCATCTGGATGATGGACTGAAGAGTTGACTGCATCAAATCGACTCTTCCAAGTGAGAAATGGTCAATTGCGTCATTGATCTTCTGAAGGACGTATTCGTACCATGTAACAGCAGCTCTGAGAAGACATTTCCTGATCAAACTGACTTCTTCTGCTTCTACAGGATGTGACTGTTTGAACTCGTTGTAGAGAACAGTTGATGCATGTGCTCTTGATGCATCTTTCGAGAAAGTGTTGACAATCAATGAGAAAATCAAAGCGTGGTAATGTTCATCCAATAAATTGTACAATAACTGGTGAACAAACTGTGCAACTTTAGGAGAAGGATGATTCAATTGTACTAACAGTTGTGGAGATGCTTGTAAGAGAAGATCAGCAGAGATTTGGGAAATACACCATGATGTTTGGTCGAAAACTTCACCGTGATTTGCGTGTTCGAAGAAAAGATTTAATAATTGGACAATTTCAATGAAAGATGCTGAAATGGAACAGCACTTAGCTAATGCATCAATTGCATTTGTTACGTATTTAGTAAGATGTGCAGGATCCCTGTTAATTAACTCAGAATTGATATCACTCCATTTTCTGAGGATTTGTAAACCATTCAAATCAATTTCTAAGGCCTTTACAATTCCTGTTGGCAGATACAAACCTCCGAGAGTTGCGTGTAAATCGTGCATCTTCATTTTCTCCTTGAACTGCTTATCGATTTGCGTGTGAGCCTGGCAACCTTTGCATGCTTCTATTGCGTGAGAATTAACAACAGGAATTTGTTCCAGATGAGAATAAGCTTCGTACAAAGTATCGATTGATTCATTCTTTTCTAACAACCATGTTGCATACAAATCATGGCATTTGGAAAGTAGTTCTCCTTTAACAGTTTGTGTGAGCATTTTCATCTGTTTGAGAGCTTCTTCTTTGTTGCCTGTGTTGTAGTTATTCAAAACGAAACAGACTCTGTCCAAATCAGGAGATTTCTCGAGATCTAAATCTCTGAAAACGATGCTGAAAACTCTTGAATTTAATTTAGTTCCAAGAGTCAAAGACTTCAAAGAGAACAAGTCCAAAAATGTCTGATCAGCCTTATGAGTGATTCTAAATCTGTTTGAAATGATTGGGAACCAAACTTCGAAATCTCTTGGCGATGTTTGCAATCTCTGGTTCCAAACTCTTTCGATATCTTGTCTTTTGTTTGGATATTTCGCCCAATCTCTTATTTCCAACACTTCCACAATCTGCTGAGCTCTCAACATCGTGTCTCTGTGTATCTGCTGGTTATTCGCCCAGAAAGTAATTGGTCGTGAAGCCAAAAGTGACCAAGCATTTGTAATTATCGAATCAATGTCGTAATCACCTGTTTTTATCTTGTACAAACAAAGTAAAACCATGCATCTGATTGAGTCAACACTTCTGCTTTCTAATATTTGTTTCAAATCATCCCATTTCTCAAGAAGAAAAGCTGCATTTGCGAAATAAGAAGTTACATCTCTTTTTGCAGTCAAATTCAAGTCTTCGAAGTTCTTCACGTTCTCAACAACTGTTGGCCATTGTCCTAAATTAGAAAGTGATTTGATGTATCCGTTAAATGAGTTTGGATTCTTCGATTGTTTGTACTTTTGTTCGTAGATAGGTAAAGCGACATCCCACATGTGTAATTTACTTAAAAAGTCTTCTTTGTTTGCATTAGGTATCATAGAACTGTATTGTTTCCAAACAGCAATTGCATTATTCCATTCTCCCAAATTGATGAATGTATCAATGAGCATTTTCGCCATCTTCTTCTTGATGACACCTCTTTGTATTGCATCTTGTTGTATACAGAGAGCAAATGCGTTTGATCCATATCTCAATGCGGAAGAGACTAAATGCTTGAGAGGAATCTTCATGTCTTCAAATTTTGACATGAAGAAAATCAAGTCCATGATTTCGTTTGTAACAACTTCGTAATTTTCTGTTGCAATCAACAAAGAATGAAAAGTATTAGTAATAACACTCTTTCCTTGTTGTGAAAGTTTCTTCCAACAGCTAAAGAAGGCAATCTTAAACAACATCATTGCCAATGGTTGGTAATTAGTCGCCAATGTCGTGCAACACCTTATATCTTCATTCGGACTTGAATTGATACAAACAATCATAAACGAATGCAACCATTGTTCCAAATGCCTTCCATATCCAAGAGTTGGAGTAATGGCTCTTGCTATAAATGTGTCTTCGCTAAATGGATGTTCAGTGGCTTTCTTTCTCCGAATTATCGGTGGAGTGGCAGTTATCGTCGGTGTAAAGTTCTCAATTTGTTGAGCAGATTCAATTGCTGCTTCAAATTCAGAATTTGCGCTTCCAGTTCTTCTTATGTAATTTATGAGTGGCATTGCGTTCTTTACGAATGGTCTTCCCTGTGTTTTGAGCAATGTGAATATCAGATCGAACACATCATCTTTGATATCAGCGCATTTGCAACCTAATGCGTAATTAATTGTCTTACAATTGGTCCTAAATAAAGAATTAATTCCGCATCTTGTGCAATTCTTTTGAGTGATTGAATAGCGAGTTTTCTCACTCCCACCAAGGCTTGTTCAGAAACAATTACATCGCAGATCTGAGGAACAATCAAATACAGCAAATCAACAGCGTAAATTCCTGTTTGTGAGAAAGCTTTGAAAACTCTGTCGCAAACTTCTTCGTTTTGAGATTTCATTGCTTCCAAACAAGAAACTAACAAAGAAATAGCTGTTGTTGCGTAAGGAACAAAACCATCTCGTAAAGTAGTAACTAATGCAATGATAACATCCAAATAAAGAACACCTAATTTATCATTGTAATGAGATACAACGAAATTCAAAACTCTTTCAGTGAATGGTGTTGAATTATGCGATGATTCAACAATGAGTTTTGATAAAATAGGTAAATACAACTGCATGTCAGATTCACTTGCTGTATCTAAAATGACAAAAGAACCTGTTGAAGAACTGATCGAAATAAGTCAGCATGAACATCCTTGGATTCTTCAACACATCGCATAAACTTGTTACTGTATCTCCATATAGTTCTGATAATTCATCGTTATTTAATATCTTCAACAGAGCTGTTGCAACAACATTTACGTAGCATTGTTCGCATGTTTCTGGTTTGAGTAATAATGTGTCATCAATGGGATTATCTAAATCTCTCGACGGAGTGAAGAATGACCTTGTCAATCTGTCATCTAAATTAGTTGGTGCTTGCGATCCCATTGGAGGAGATCTCTGATGAACATCTAATACTCCTAATGAGCCAATAACTCTCAGAATGGCCATTCTCACCTTTCTTGACTGTGTGTTCGCAAGTAATTTAGAACACGCGGATAAAATAAGTGGAGCCATGATTCTGTATTGGACAACAGCAGCAGGAGGTGATGAAAGAACAAATAAAAGATGGAGATCTGACAGTAAAAGTGCTCTGTCTTCACTTGTATGGAGTTTGTTGCATAAAAATGGAATCAAAGATAGGAATCTCTGCAATTATGGTTGAAGCAATGGAGCAATCAATGCAATGGAGTCAAACAGGCCAATTTCGATGTTTGTGACTGCTTCTTGCTCTAAAAAGTTCTCTAATGTCGATTTTTCCGGTGGATGCAATAATAGTTCCATGGCAATCTCCATAAATGGCTTAGCGTAGATCTTCATGGTCGCGCCGGTGGCTGTGATGAGGTCTGGAAGGGTTTTGATCACTCGAGAACGTAATCTAATTCCCGGTACATTTTTGATCGAATAAAAATGCTCCAAAAGGGCATGGCGAGTGATGTTTGAGACATACATGGGATTTATGTCTCCGAGAGCTGCAATTGTCTGGAAAACTAAGTTTCTGACGGATGTTGAATCATCATTAGCGAAAAGTTGAAGGAATTTGACCGCTTCTGGATCGGAAGCTCCTTAATAGCATACGCTTAAGAGCACGAAGGATGGAAAGCCTGACATCCGTGGAAGGATCAAATAAAGCTAATTGGAACAGCTTTTCTGTAGTTTCGCGGATATGTTCCGGTTGATTCGTAGATTTTGCGAGTGAATAAAGTGCTGCGGGTATTGCTTTGCGTATTTCGTCAGCTTCGAACATAGATTTTTCTGTAATTAGAGTATTAAGAGTTCCATTCTGTTTGAGGGCGAATCCTGGTAACCGGCAATCAGATCTAGCGCAAGAATTG